GAGAAACACTGCCTTATCCTAATCTCAGGAGTCATAAACTAAGAGAAGATTGCCACCTCATGGATAGCAGCAGCTGTCACACTTTATTTAGCGCTAAATCTGGATATTGTTATTTGGAATTTCAGCTCCCTCAATACTGCGGGAGGAGCGCCGGGTTAGCCAAAATTCAGGAGGAGACTTTCCAGATTAGCAAATTTTACAAAAAGGGAGAAGTTTTTAGGAACTGCAATGGCCTCTTAATAAAATCTGTCCATCTGAAAAGCCCTGAGTTTTAGCTGCCTGGATACAAAGAAGGGAACTGAACCGGGAAGAGAGACTTGGCTCTTGCCAAAAATTCTATGGAAGGTCAAAAAAAAAAAAAAATTAATGCATCTGACTTTCAAATGCTGTAGAAAGCAGTCTGGTGTGCAAAATTCAGCCTTTCCAAGAAATTATTTTCAAACACGGGAGCAAGCGTCTAGTCCTCAGGTCAGTGAAGACGGGATTGAAATCTCCAGAGCAAGGGGCCAGGCTGAGATTCCTAGACGCTGGGAGATGACAAGAGAAGGAGAGCCAAATACGGGGAGGGACATGCCGAATGGCTTATGCAGAATTGTTTAGTTGGTCTAATTCCTGCATACAGCATCACAGAACTCTGCAAAATTTCTTCCCCAAAAAGCAGAAATGCAAACACTCACCTGATCTCTGCAAAAAAAAGGGGAAAAAAGATCCAGAACCCTGTCTTGGTAAGGTTGGAAAAGAAGGGACCTTACCTTGAAACTGTGGCTTCACCTCCCAGGAACAGGAGGAAAACCCGCCGAAGATATAGCCGTCGGTGTCCTTCAGAACCAGAAGGCAGGGCCCCTGGTTCACGATGTGGCCGCACAGCTGCGTGAAGCTCTCTCCATGAACCGGGGAGGCGAAGACCAGCCGCCATTTATGCTGCAGTTCCGAAGGCAGGTGGGAATTGAGGTAGGTGATGGAGGGGATGTCGAGAAGGCTGACGAAGCGGGTCCCTTGCAGGCCGTGGCACTCCGGAAGCAAGGGGAGGATCCCTCCGCCGGCGTCCGGGAGAGACTGCAGGAGGAGCAGGCCCTGTTGAACCACCACGTTGAGGAAGGCAGGGATCTGCGGGACTCGGAAAAGCCAGTCCTCCAAGCTGCTTTGGTCGCAGGTGGCGTCCAGGTCAGGCGGGCCCTCCAGGGTTTCCCCCTCTGAAGCAAGAAACGTGGGTTTGGCCAGGGCCAAATCAGAGTATGCCAAGGTGGAGTGTACACACCATACATACCATATACTATATGCACAGAGCAGTGCATCTCAACCTTGGCCAGTTGAAGATGGGTGGACTTCAACTCCCAGAATTCCCCAGCCAGCATGGCTGGCCGGGGAATTCTGGGATTTGAAGTCCACACATCTTCAAGCTGCCAAGGTTGAGCGACACTGGCATAGAAAGACTCTATATATCTCTTCCTGAACACCAGGACTACGCAGCTCCTAAAAGTAACGTACTATACAGAGTCCCCCAAAGTGCAAGTCCGTGAGTTCGTTTCTTGGTAGAGGGTTCGAGCCCCGTAGTAAGATCTTGGCTATGTACAACTCACGAGTTCCAGTCGGAACAAAAGTGCTTGGGTACTGCCGCCCAGGGATCACTACACACAGAAACACCAGCCAGGATACACACTGGGTGCAAAATAGAGACACTGCCCCCCACCCCACCCCAAGAGGGGCGGAAGTCACGTAAAAGCTTGCAAAGTGAGGCCGTGACATAATATAACATCTATCTTTCCTGATCCAAGAGCGGACCGTATATACCATTCTAAAGACAGATTTAGAAAGGTACGTACAGTCTGCTCTCAAACAGGGAGATATAGATGTTATATTATGTCACGGCCTCACCTTTGTTTTAAATATTTAATCACCTTCATTTTAAATATTATTTTTGGTTTGATATGTTTTAATTAATAAAATGTTAGGGGACACATATTCTTATTTTATACCTATTAATGTTTTAGATTTATATTATCTAGGTTGTACATGTATCAGTATAGTAATAGAGGAGCGAAGGCTGTATTATTCTGTGATTTATTTCACTAGTTGTTACTATATTATTGTACCTATTTGTTTCGTTTCACTCTGGTTTTGTCCTTTTAAATGTTGCTGGTCGTGGACCGAATAAAGATGATCGATTGATTGAAAGACAGATTTATTCCCACAAGAGACCAGAACAGAGAGAGGACTGCCAGCTGACAGGGGCTGCAAGTTTTTGCAGATACCCGAGAGAACGAAGCCAACAACCTTTTTACCCTCTGAGAGTAAAGTCTACGCAGTTCATCACAACCCTAATAAAATTGCACTTCTATACGTATGTGATGCCTAAGCTGTTCTAGATTGCAATTTGCTAGAAAACGACAGCATAAATGTGCATTTATTTTCAGTCTCTGATTCTCTCTATTGTATTCGTGCCCTTGCAACCATAACAAAGACTACAATAAGGCAGTAAAATGGTCTAAAATACAAGGAATGTAAAACAGACTTAGCAGAAAGCAATTGGTCTGCTGGAACATTTTGCCCATCACAGAAAGCAGCAACCAAACTGAAGTTTGTGGAGCACTGTATTTTAAAATCCCCGAAATAATTCAAGGTCTAAAAATCTCCAACGTTCTTGAAATTCTCTGTTTGTAATTTAGGAAAATTCAAGCTCTCCATGACACCTAGGAGATCCTGCAAAGATATTAGGGACTTAAGTAAGAGGGTTGTGCTAAAAATTTGGTATCTGTTCTTTTAGACTTCATATTGGAGCCTTTGTTTTACATGCAAATGTTTGCTGTCACCTAGGTCAAAGCCTATAAACATGAGCATTCGTAGCTCACCTGCAGATTTCAGTTCAGAGGTCAGCTGAGAAGCCAAAGCTTTTATCCCAGTGACTGAATTATGTACGTTCTTTGGATTCCAACCTTTCAGCTCCTTCCTGTAGTTTAGGACATGAACGACAGAGCCAACCAGATCCTCTGCAAACTTCAAGGGAATAATTAGGGTTTTTAATGTGTCAGATGATTTTAATGCCAAAGGCATTTCTAGAAACAGTCCCAAAATAAGGACAGAAAGCCGCTCACCTGAAAAGATAAGACTTAGGGCCTAAACCCTTCCATATCTGCCACCATCCTCGGTTTCAATTTTTTTTTTTTTTGACATGCTCAAAATCTCTCAGGAAGACAGACAATCACGAGCATAATTCAGTTTCTTCCCAGGAGAAACTGTGTTCTATACTCTGGGGAATATTTGCTAACTGCTTTTGGGGGAGCGTGCACATGTGCACACAGGAGCAATGCCAGACGCATTTTAAACTAAGTAACCTCTTCACAGAGAAAAAGTGAACTTAGTGTTCCGCCTACCATTTCTCGGTATAAGGCGCTGCTCTGCCCATGGCTTGGAGCCAGCTCTTCTGGCTGGCTCCACCCAGCTGTTTTGGAATAAAACTCTGTTCGGCCCAGCCAAAAGGTCAATGGTGCAAAGGAGGAGCTGCAGGCCGAAACTTTGGGAAGCTGGAGAAGGCTGGGATGAAGTGCTCTTGGATTCTAAGGCAGCATCAACTCCCCTGCCCTGAAAGAATTGTAAAGGGTTGGGCAACCACGCTATCTGTTCAGTCCTAACTTCTGTCTCCCCACTTGGATCTATCTCCAAGCGACCCCAACGCACTGGGTGGCACCCTATGAATTACTGTCATAATTATGAAGACTTAGTCCATTTCTGGGCCCATCACCTCACTTTTCCCCTGAACACAAGCGAGACGTGCCGTTGTCCACTTACCTCTAGGATTTCACTTTCCTTGACAGTCTCGTGAGCGTCGGAGACCATCTTCAGGACAATTCCACTTTTTTCCTGCACACTGCCCTTGAAGAGTGTGGATATAAAGATAACGAACTGCTCCTTTACCACCTGGGTGCTAGGCTCTGGGGACCTGTGGGTCACCTGGATGCTCTTCATCCCATTGTACAGTCTCCTGACCATTGACTGAGGCACAGCATCCTTGACGTAGGCCTAGCAAAAGAACCAAATCCATCAAGCAAGCTTAACCACTTAGAAAAATAATAACTTGCCCTATTGACAGAAGAACGAGGCCCGAGAAGAGCAGCTCTTACACCTGCCATAAGCCAGGTCTCTCTCTCTTACTAAACTTCATCCATATCCATTCCTAATCATCTCAGAACTAGGCTGCTGGAGAGAGCTAGGATACCATCTTTACTTCAGTCTCAGGATAAGTTATCATCTGCCTGATGAAACAGACCATTGTTCACCAAAGCTTATATACGCAGGGAAAGGGGCATCTAAGCTACGATTCAGTATCTGAAATAACTTGGCGGATCTATCCTTTTCCTTTAAAAGTAATCTGCTCAAATAGAAACTCACAAGTGGCTTCAATATGGTGGACTTCTCTTCTCCACAACATTCCCACTTTCATTGGCACCAAAGTCCTGAAATAGCTGTGCAATAATAAACGTGTTGGTCTTTAACAGTGTGTCTCAACCGTGGCAACTTGAAGATGGGTGGACTTCAAATCCCAGAATTCCCCCCGCCCCCCCGCGGGGGGG